TTCCAGTAACGTGCTGCTAAAAGATCTAACACTCGTTGATCAAGCTCTTCTTTCAGCATTTCACGAACTTGTGGTCGTCCAAAAGTTTCGGCAAATTCCTTGAATGAATGCTTGAAAGCGTCGAGGCTCTCGGCAAGATAAGATTCTGCAGATAGAGGACGGTCGTTATATTGGACCTTAAACTCATAAGTCGCTTCTTCAAGCTCTTGGTGGATGGCATCGCTAGTAGTTTGAAGACTCGCCGCCATGGTTTGCTCGAGTACATGCATAAGCTTCTTACGGAGAGTGGTAGTGCCAACATTTAGTCCAGCATCAGGTCCATACTCCATAGGATGAGATGAGAAGAACGCGTGCTCATTCTTGATGATGGCTTCCGAGATGCTTCCATTGCCAGCTTTGAACAACGACCTAGTTTGTGATTGTTGTGGTGCTCGTGACACAACACCAACATAACCGAGTCTTAAGGGGTATTTACGATCGTTGAGGATTGAGACTCCTCTAGCAGGGTCGACAAGGTCCATCTTTGTGATGACGCCAATAGTACGTTCACCTCGTGGATCAACTCTTCGGCTTGCTCGTAAAGCAGTTGAGTTGGCTAAATCCACGTCTGCAGCAGAAATAGCAAGAATGACATTGGGAGGCTGAATATACTTGTCGCACAAATCGGCTATTTTCTGCTTTAATTGCGGAGGTTGATTTTCACCGACAACCTGGATATATCCAGGAAGATCGATGAGGGACAAATCGGGAACATGGGGTGACGAGATGGTCAACTGAATTGGGTCATCGGAAACACATTCTGTGTCAGGAACGGCCAAATTCAATTCCGTTAACGTCCTCTGGATATGTGAGAAGTCGGTAATCTTTCCTAGGCCGAGAGCAGGAAATTCTCCATATTCCGCTTGTGAATCAGGGGTGTTGACGAGGGTCAACTCTATGGGTCGTCGTGTAACCATATTTGAACCCTTAGGTAAGAATTCATGTCCCACGATTGCTTCGAGCACAGAGCTTTTTCCCGATGACTGTGAACCAATAACCACGATTGATGGTAAAGTAAGAGCGTTTGACTGTCCCACAGTCTGCAATATAGTTCTGATCTCAATCATTTTTTTGGTCAAAACCATCATCTGATCATCTCGGGCAGCAACTTCTGGAGATCGATCGTCTTCTGAATACTGATCATATCCATAGGCGGCAGCACTTCCTGCTACAGCCGCAGCTCCCATTCTACTTTGTTTAGGTGGTTCCCCGCCAGGGCCCCCACCCCCACCTCCACCATTTCCTTCCCCAATCTCTTCATGAATCCGTAATACCTTTTGCATCCACTCCGGCAACTCAACGGATTCCTTTGTTTTCTCCCATCCTTCTCGTGTTTGACTTGCAATATCTTTTGCACTGCCGAACAAACCACCTGCTACTCCCGACACAGTATTCGTTGTGGAGTTGAAGATGTCTGCAACATAATTACCAGCCTCTGCAGATGTCCAAAGTTAGCACACTTTCAGAAGGAGGAGTAAATTAACTAACGGGTAGCCTGGTATTGAATATATGCCAAACCACCAACAGTCACTCCAGCGAAAAGAGCAGGTATTCTTGCAAACTTTAACAATATGTTTGGTAAAATGCGAACAAATGAAGCATTTCGAACGACTACAGCATTAGAGAATGGCGTATGTCCTGCTGGCCATAACCTTCTTGCAATACGAACGGCGGATTCTGATCTGAGTAGACCACCAGCGGTAGATACCGCCTTGTGATGGAAATGTCTGGCAGATTGCGAGTTGATACGTTGAGCCGCGGGCAGAAGCCTCGCCGATAGCAGCCTCCCACTCATACTGGGCAAACTTAAGATCGTATCAATCTTTTAGGAAAATGTAGAATCATGAGCAATAAATTTCATTCTGCTGGTTTTGTTGTCCACTTATTAGTATCTGGGTGTTTGAATTCCACATGTTCTTGCATGAATAAAGGTCGAATCAGAAGTGGCGTGCAAATATCTGTGGCTAGTGAATTGTGATTGTGGCTTGATAACGAACTTCGAATTTGGCGGGCGGCTGAGAGGGAATGAGATCAAAGAGAACCTTGGAACCCCCATATGTCCAGCCTCGAGGGGTTATCAGACGATAACAACTCCACAACAATGATGATATTTTGTTTGCTAAATTTCCGGTACATATCCTCAATTCTCTGTTGTACATACTCTTGGATCTACATCTTATAAATGAAACTACTGCCGAAGTTGGAATTTCTCAACTTGCTTCTTTTATGCGTTGGGCTTGGGTCTTAATTTATGTCTCAGCACCCAACAAATTACGCCATACCGTTATTTCCCCTTCAGCCTCGCCATTGCTCCCTTGAGTGTGAGCAAACAACTCCCAACGTTCCTTGACTCGTTAGCAAAAGATATTGTGTTACAACCATATCCCATTTGTATTCATTGAATTTACGAAGAAACGCCCCCAAAGTATCAAAGTTCCAAGAACCTGAACCTCGACAAGAGACAAGATGTGTCGCTTTCTGGTAAGCCAAACAACTTCAACTCTTGGGTAGCAGCAAGTACTCATGATAGTAAGGTATATAAAGGCTCAGATGCCATTTTGCTTTCTAAAATCATTTTGGAACCCACCCACTCAATTCTCAATCAATCTTTCGACTCCCGTCTTCGTTTGGACATGAGAAGGCCTCATAATGGTGAGTAGTTTCTGATCTTCGTGATTCGAGAACACGGTGACTCATAATGTCTGCAGGAGATGGATTTGGTATTGGTTATTACACAGAACCTGAACTTGGACCTGAGCCATGTATCTTTACATCTACTATTCCTGCTTGGAATTGTATCAACCTTCAACGAATTGCTTCAAAGACTGCTTCGCCGCTCATATTTGCCCACGTACGAGCCACGACCGAAGGTTCCCTCAGCGATGACAACTGCCACCCTTTCTCTCATGGAAGTTTGATGTGGATGCACAATGGTGGATTGGGCGGTTGGAAACATATAAAACGACGCCTGGGCGAAAGACTAGCCGACAAATGGTATCTTGGAGTTCACGGAGGGACCGACAGTGAATGGGCATTTGCTTTATACCTAGACACACTCGAGAGAATGGGTCATAACCCAAGTGCTCCACCAGCTGAGGGATTTGGTCCAACTGTTTTAAGGCATGCTATGCTAGCTACCATCAAGCAGATCAATGATTTTATTGCGGCAATTCCACAAAAGACAATCGAGGAAGAAAATTTGGATATTCGAAGCTTGTTGAATTTCGCAATTACCGACGGGCATAGTATTGTCTGTACTCGTTATGTTAGTAGCAAAACCGATGAGGCAGCTAGTCTGTACTACTCTTCCGGCACTACATGGGAGGACAAAAGTAACAAGGGCGAATACCAAATGGATCGTCGTGATAAGGGTGCTGATATCGTTCTTGTTGCAAGCGAACCGTTAACATTCGAAAGAGGTAATTATTCTCACTTGTTTCCTACTTCTGTATCCCACTACTTCATCTTGCCAAGGGCCAAGATTAAAGGCGTTAGACATTGCCACAACCGAGTTCTATTGACTGGAGACTCTGGTCCCGTGAAGATCACTCAAACGAGAACCTAGGATTGGTAAAAGTCTTTATGTTGCACGTCAGAAGATAGGCGAAATCAGGCGAGAATTAAAGCTCGACTGGCTCGTGTGGTGGCTAGTGATTCATTTTTCAGTGTTCTTCAGGGATTCTCGTCAAAATCCTGCATTTTCATTTACTCGCTTGCCTAGTTGCACTATTACTGCAGCCATGTGGAGTAGACATTTCTAACACATTTTACAGAAAGCTGGGTGACAGTTCCAACCAACTCCACTTTGACAATCCATAAACAGACTGTCATGGTACATCCAATTATCGACGAGTATTACAACCACAATCCATATCATTCGCGATCTTCTCAATTCGTTACCGATAAGGGTCTCGTCACCAACGAAAAATCAACGCCAGCTCCCACACCAGCTCGCACTGGATCTACACTATTGCATCAATCACTTGCCAGAACAATCAACCCATCATCAGTCATGTTATCACCAAGAGAAAATTATGACCCCAATACTGCGAATAACGCATTACATACATCAGCAATCTCAGATATTAGACATGCCACACCAGCAGCATCCCGTCCCTCAATTTCACCCAACAAGTCTGGAGAACAAGGCAACACCAAAAAGAAACGTGCCGCGGCTCCTATCCCTGCACTTGTACACATACCAGCTAATACAATGAACGCTGGAGCATCAAGTGGAACGACAGGAATAGATTACATAGATACGCCTGATACACCAGAACTGACCAAAAATACTGATAGCAGAAACAAAATAGCGCAGTATTTCCCGGAGCTGGATAGTATTGATCGAAATTGAGCCAAAAGGCTTGAATCAATAGTTTCAATAGGGTTGTATTTCATTTTAGGACAAGCAGAGCGAGACAGTGGGATTTTGGGCTGGCGTCAATATTAGAATGGGGAGTGGATTTGGTTGTATATCTGTTTAGAGGAAGGCGTTTAGTGCGTGATGTAGGATTCCCCTTTAGTTGTTGCAATTTTACGTTGATTTTGCAGATTGGTTTCTGCTTTTTAGGTTGAGTCGCTTTTGTTGTATGTATCTTTTCTAAAATGGATATTTGTGCGTACTTTCGAACTTTCGAGCTCGTGAATGTGTTGAGTGGATATCCAACATTTAAAATCACAATGGTAAAACCTCCAAGCAATTAAGAACCATCATATCCCAGTGATACAATGATCAAGTAACCCCATCTTTCGGACTTCTCAAATGCTTCTTGAAAGACAATCACAAACTAGAATCACAACACAAAATGATTCCTCACATTCCCTAAAATAAGAACCCGCTTGTATTATCATGTCATTCCTACAGTTCTAACAACTAAAAACCCAAGCCATAAAAGCGCTCAACCACGCTAATCAATCAATACACCCCATATCTCGCCCCAAAGACCCCGACACCCAAAAGCTCAAAAATAATTAAACCAATCACTCTCATTATCACTATCCTCGCCATAATAATCATCCGACTCCAACGATTGCTCGGGCGTCAAATCCCGCTCATTAACACTCCAATCAATCATTTCGACCGATAATCCCTTATGCAGATTAAACTCTCCGCATTCGTATTTTCCCAAGCCGTCGTAATCGAAGAGGGCTTTTCGTGCTGTCAGGATTTCGAGATATTGTTGATCGCACATATCGACGGCGGTGCTAAACTTTGTGATGAAGTGACGGATTTTGCCGACGTGGTGGTCGGTCATGAGATGTTTGATTAGACGATCGCGGGGGAGGTTCTTGTAATGGCTGTTGTAGAGATGGCGTTGCGAGTGGATCTGGGCTTCGATTGCAGAGGTTGTGTGTCTCGTGAAAGATTTGGCGTAGCGTTTCAGATATACTAATGCGAGACAGATCTTCTGTTCTCTGTCTGGATCGCGCATTTCCCATGTATTGTTTGAGAACCCTGATTTTTCTTTCTTTCTCTCCATAGCGTCGAATATGCCGCCGGGAACTTTTTCTTTCTTTATAAAGGTTGTGAGTCTATGGTTTGCATTCATGATTTGATTCCATTGTCGCTCGAGATATGTTAGGGCGTGCTTGCGATGCTCTTTGAATGTCCATTCGTCTTCGCCTGAATTCATGACAGCGTCTTGACAGTTGCGAAGTTCGAACTCAAGTGGATGAAGGGTTGGCTCGATAAAAGGATTGAAAGAACCTGTGTCGAGAAACTCGGCATACTCGAGACATCTAGAGTCAATTCGTGTGATATCCTCTCGTCTTAGGCCCATTTGCATTTTGTAAGGTTGATATCGCTCGAAGGCTCGCGCGTAGGCCACGAGGTTTTTGTGCATCATGTGGCGGACATCTAGAGGTTTTTGACTGGTCGTAAGTGTTTCTATCTCCATCTTCAAGTCGGTAGGAAGTTCCCAGTCTGCTAGAGCTTGATCTTCCTCTGTAAATTTCTTCACTAATCCATCTTCAGCGAGTTGAATAATGTCAGGAACATCAGTTGCGCAAGCTTCTTTGATTGCACAAGTCTGCAAATTGCGAAGGATTCTCAAGGGCCTCAAAATCTGTTCGTAGCTGTCGAAAGAATAATTGTTGTTCCGACCATAGTCCAATCCGCAAGACAAAATCAATAGTTCCAAGAATATCGGAGGATCTTGAGAGATAACTTCGCAAAAGTCACGTAAACTCCATATCGGTTCCCAACTGCCACCAGCAGGTGCAAGTCTACTGACTACCACACGCCACTTGCGAACTCTCGACACAGTAGAGTAATTACCAAGATTTGGGATTGGAAATGGCATCCTGCTTTGATTGTTCTGGTATCTCGTAAGAGGACATAACTCCACAAGAGGTCCTTCGACGTTTATTATGGCCGTCTGATTTTCATCATCACTTCCTATATTCATATCCATAGAAAGGCGATTATCTACCCGAAAGCATGCGATGTAGAAGGTATTTTCTTTGTATAGAACATCCAAGGCTCCGACGTACATTTGATGGCAGACTCTCAATATTTGTGGGCATAAGCCGTATTTTGTATCAGCTCCATAGCTCTCACTTCTGGATACAGAATTTGCACTGCCCAGAATCTTGTTGAATAGTAGTTCTCTGTAGATCTGATTCCTGACTTCGAAAGGGACCTTATCCAAAAAGGGACAATCGCTGTTGGAGGCCATATTTGAGATTTCGGATGTTGAGTATTATTGAAAGAATGGATCGAAGTTTGATTGGAAAAATGGTTGTCGAATAAAATTGTTGTGGTATTATGCAAGAAGTTGCGAGAAGAGAATCAATGTTTGTTATTCTGCAGCTTCCCACCATTTCGGGAAACAGCTCTGATGGTGGGAAATAATGGTAAGAGGTTATTTAGAAAAGACGAAATATGCTCTCACCTCCAGCTTCGTCTTGTAATCTTTCCGCCACAGTGTCTATATATCATTGTATAAGGTTCCAGCTTAATATCAATTGTAAAGTGAATCAAAATTATATCTTAGATATATTTCGATGGGCATAGATGGAGTGAATCGAGTGTCTGCTAAAAAGCTCGTTTGGGGTCTTCAACCAATCCTGAAAGTTTCAATTCACTGGAGAGATTGAAATCATTCAAATATTCAGACTGTACAGAATATTGAAAAGATTCTACAATTTCAATTTATCTTCGTCAGGAAGACTTCATTCAACTAAAGGTTCGAACTCCCTTGTAAAATTAGAAGCGCCCAGAATCTTTGGTCTTCTATTTACAAACGTCGATAATCCAGAAGTTTCACCTAATATTATGAGTTCAGCTCACTTGGAAGATTGTACATATCAAAGATGGATCCACCGAGGAGTTTAAGTCTTTTATAAAGACTGAGAAAAATCATGTACCAGGACTTTAATTGATGTTGGACACCAATAAAAATGACTGTATTCATCAACTTGAAGCACAGCTAATCACCCATAAATCGTGTAGTTGTTCTGGTAGATTTGTTTATGTTGGGCCTGTTCTCACGCTTCGCGTGCGTTGAGAGAGTGTTTGAAGGATCCAATGTAACCTTACTTGCATCGTGCAAGTTGCAAGTTGCATGGTAACTTGTTATTTGCAATACACGCAACATGCAAGCTCCAGTGTGCAAGTTTTCCTGAAACTGACTTAACATCATAACTGTATAGCCATCCATTTCAGATCCAACTCTTGAAGTGCAGATAAACTTGGAAAGCTGAAGTAAGTACTACCTAGACATAGCATCTCAGCTACCATCCCAAGGCTCGCCGATGATATTACCCTTCTCGCTTTGAAACGGGGCAACATCAACATTCTTTGGCATCATCATTACTCCCTGCAACCATTCAACATATGCAGGGAAACCAGTCACACTCCCATAAATCCTTACTTTCTTCACTCTTCGCACACCCTCAAAGAGTCTCAGAACTTTATAATCTGAACCCCTAAAGGCAGATTGTTCAACCCTTATCGTCAATTCATCCATTCCGGTGAAAGCATCTTCTGCCTTTTCTGCAGAAAAATTCGGATCGCAATCCAGTCGAACAACTATATAGTATTTCTTGATGATAGATATCAATCTAGAGGAACTGATAGTATCATATTTCCAACGCAAGCGCGGTAGTCCCGTCAGGAGATTGGGATGTGCTATGAAGACATTGCTACCATATAGAATTTGTTCGGCTTCATCATGAACTTTTCGACAGGTGGATAGAATTTGGGGATATATTTGTGGATCGCTTCCTAGACAACGGGGTATTGATATCGGTGGGATGATGAGGAGCAATTGGTAGATGTGGTTACGAATTTCTCCTGGGAGATCAAGGAATGTGAGGGGCGGCATGGTTTATGAAGCACCTCTTCTATTGTTGAAGTGACAACCTCGATGCACTCTTGTGAAGTTGTATGGGGACGTATGAAAAGGTTGAGATTTGTGATGAAGTCTTCTCGTTGAAGTCTCTTCGAATAATTGACGATGGTTATTAAATGACATGAAGTGATTTGTGAAGTGACATACGGATAAAGGGATCTCATCAATCTGATAAGATAACATGTATCAGCACGGACTTTTGCGATAAGATCAAGATAAAACCCCGCGCTACAATCCCGGTTCCTACCGCCGGGATTAAACCGAATCATTCAATGTTCCTCTGAATTTAGTACGTGCTCACACGTGATAGTCTACTTGGATGGATGAGACCTCGATCATGCATGTTGACTCTTCATTTACAGAGTTCTTTGACATCATCAATACCCTCATTTTTATATTGTCGCCATCCATGACATAGTCTTCATGATGACAGTTGCATTCCTTCAGTTTCTTTCCTATTTGTTCGGTTGGATATACACAACATGTTGGTCGCTATCTTTCTATCCGCAACCAATCTTGAACTTTAGGCGCAAATCTACCTCAGGCGCCGCAATCGATTTCCCGTTCCTCAACGTGCTAGGCTTTGCTGCATACTTTGTATCAACAGTCTCATTCCTTTATGCGCCAGAAATTAGACATGAATATGCTTTGCGAAATAATGGGCACACCCCAACTGTTCAATTCAATGATCTCGCTTTCGCTGTTCACGCCCTCTTCATGTGCTTTGTCATAATATCACAATATGAACCATCGATTTGGGGATTCGATAAACGAGGTAAAAGGGGACCCGGCGCAAGAGTTAGCAAATCTATCATGGGTTTGTCGATAGCATGTATTGTTGCAGTCGCGACTTCGGTAGTCATCGTCATTGCGCGACAGGATGAAGATGTTGTAAGAGGCTGGGCATGGATCGATGTGGTAAGTTGATATGAGGCTGCATCATCTGGTTACATCTGGTTACACTTGTGCTAACATCATTTTTCACAGGTATATGTCATATCATATGTCAAACTTGTTATCACGACTGTTAAATATATGCCTCAAGTTCTTACGAATTATCGCAATCGGTCCACTACTGGTTGGTCAATAGGGGGAATATTACTCGATTTCGCAGGTGGAGTCCTATCGATTTTACAATTAGGAATTGATAGTTACCTCCAGGGAGATTGGTCGGGAGTGACGGGCAATCCAGTCAAACTCATGTTGGGCAATGTGAGCATCTTTTTCGACGTAATTTTCATTGTTCAGCATTATATTTTATACAAAGGAAATGGAGATGATATACCATTAGATGAAGAAGATCCTTTACTGGCGCCGGATAGGGAGCAGAGAATTGAATAGAGAGACACGAAGAGATAGGGGCAGGGGATTGATTTGAGAGGGATGAAGAGATAGCGAGCATTTTCCTATGGCGTTATGCAGTGTGTACGGAAGGAGTACTCTCACTGGGTTCAAACTTCCTACATATTCCCAAAATCTGGCCACTTTTGCAACAAATTGCACAAACTTCCAGCGACTTTAGCTCACTTGGGAGAGCGCCAGACTGAAGTTCACTTCGGTTCATTAATCTGGAGGCACTGTGTTCGATCCACAGAAGTCGCATTCTGCGAGTTGAGGACCACCTTGACTTGATAATATTTTTGTTTTCATTTTCATTTTTTCTTCCTCTTTTATTTTTCTCAGGATTAACTCTAACCATACATACACGACGAATACCTTACGGAGCGTACCTACAGTGAAAGAATTTCATGATGCAAAAAAACCTTATATTTTTTAGTTGTGATCGGCTACTTAGTCTGTTCATGACAACCCACTAGGGTTTTCACTAGAAGATTTCACTAGAAGACGCGAAGAGGACTCGAAAGGGTAGAAGGCATTAGTGGGAGCTGGAGGACAAGCGAAGAAGAATTGAAACTTTGAAAGTAAATATCTTTGGGTGGGACAATTGGCTCAGCTTGTATCAACGAAGCTAATGTGTGAGAAGGCTACGGTGCTACTAGGAATACTCTGTAAATAATGATTCGGATGGCATTTTAAAAATCCGGTATAGGAGCCCATCGAACCCACCAAGTCGTCCCTTAAGTCGACTATCTACTCCATAGTATCCAGTCACCACCAGTGTCCACCGGCTATGCAAAGTGGCGGGGTTAGAACTTTTCAACGATACGTATTAAAGTAAGCAAAGCAAAACAAATGATGGTTCGACGGTCAATAATAATATCTGACCCAATCTTTCTATCATATACCGAAGATCTACCACAATGTGAAATCGTTTCCGACGGTTAGACTGTTGGACTAAAACAAAAAACCTTCGCGAACTAAGCCTAGCCAAGTAAAACCCCTGAATGCTTACCATCAACTTTTTCTCCCGTGCTTTCGACCTAATGTGAAAATATTACTTGAGAATTTCATTTTTTGGTGGCAACTATCCAAAGGACAGGATGGTCCCCGATGTCTAGACTGAACGTAGGGATTTCTTTCACATTTCGACAACTATCTTGAAGATGGCGTGCTTCCATCAGGGATGGAGAATTTTCACTCAACAGGGAATAAAAGTGTCAAGTCATTCAGACGCGTTGACGTTTCCCTCACTCTATTCTCCTGTTCATTACCATTATTCTACAACATCTATCCATCTTCTCATCTATTTTGAGAAGCGTCTATATCGTATTGGTGAATAGAGAATTGAATTCTTAGCTGCATTCAAAGTATCCACCATGTCGAACAAGACCTACACCTCGCAAGAATTGGGTATCCACGGGACACCATCTCAAACTTCATTGGATAATCCGGGAAAACCAGATATCGCAAATGGAGAGGTAGTTCATTCGGCTTCAGGCCATTTGGATGCCGTGTATGGTGTCGGTGGTGTGGGATATACACAGAGAAGATTGAAGGCTAGACATGTTACCTTTATTGGTTTTGGTGGTGGTATTGGTACGGGTCTTTTCATCGGTACTGGCGCAGCTTTAGCAAACGCTGGTCCGTTGGGTTTACTCTTGTAAGTCAACACCTAGTCGGCTTAAACCTCACGATACTGGAATTGGTATTAACACACTCTTAGGGCATATAGTGTCGTTGGTCTTCTTCTTTGGTGTGTAATGGAGTCAATTGGTGAACTGGCCACTCTGGTATGTTTTTATAGATCAATCACCTGACATTCACCGAACCAACGCTCACAAGTTACAGTTCCCAACTGCTGGATCATTCCCCCATTTTGCAACTCGATTCGTCGATCCCGCTCTTGGATTCACTCTCGCCATTTCTTACGGTTATTGTTACACCATTGCTATTGCTTCGGAAGTTTCAGCAGCCGCCATCGTGGTATCTTACTGGACAGACATCACACCCGCTCTCGTGATCTCTATAGGACTCGTCGCCATCTTCCTCATCAATATTGCTAACGTCAAGTTCTACGGTGAAGCAGAGGTCGTCACTGCTTCCATCAAAATTCTTTGTTTCTTAGGATTGATTATCGTCTCTATCGTGATCACAGCCGGAGGCGCACCTAATCATGAGTCCGTCGGATTTAGATATTGGAAAGATCCAGGTCCATTCGTTCCCTACGATGGAATCACGGGGAACAAAGGTAACTTCCTTGCATTCTTCAGTGCATTCATCAACGCCAGTTTCTCCTACATTGGTGTTGAAACCGTCGTTGTCGCTGCCGCGGAAACCGAAAATCCACATAAATCGATTCCCAAGGCCGTCAAGCGTGTTACCTATCGAATCCTCTTTTTCTATGTCCTCGGCACGCTTCTCATTGGAATGATCATTCCGTCCAACGACCCAGCTCTCGTAAGTGGTACCGGTAACGCCAATTCTTCACCTTTCGTCATCGCGATCAAGAACGCCGGGATCTCCGTCCTCCCATCGATTGTCAACGCATGTATCCTTACCTCTGCCTGGTCCGCTGGAAACAGTTACTGCTACATTGGTGCGCGAATGATTGTCGCTATGGCAGTTGATCGTCAAGCACCTCAATGTTTTGCCAAGGTCAACAGATGGGGTGTACCATACTTGGCTGTCGTCGTATCCTTCGCATTCGGTCCGCTAGCATATCTAAGTCTTGGTTCGGGAGGTGCAGCACAGGCATTTACTTGGCTCCTCAACCTCAGTACGGTTGCGGGTCTCCTTGCCTGGATGACTCTCTGTATTTGTTACATTCGTTACCATCACGCTTGCATTGCTCAAAGTGTTGATCGTAATAACCTCCCTTTCAAAGGACGCTGCCAACCACTCGCCGCGTATGTCGGTGCTATCGGGTCCGGAATCATTGTTATATTCTCTGGCTTCGGTGTTTTCATTAAGGGCAATTGGAGCACATCGAATTTCATTGCTAGTTATATCGGAATTGTCATCTACATCGCACCATACGTTTTCTGGAAAATTTTCAAGAGGACTAAGGTGTCGAGATCGAAGGACGTGGATTTGTTTTCCGGGAGATTTGATGCCAGTTCTGCGCCGGTGGAACCAATACCTACGACTGCATGGGGCAAGTTCCTGGATTGGTTGTTGTAAGATAATGAGGGGGAGAGGAGAAAGGAAGAGGAGGAGGTGGAACTATGATTTTTAATGATGCATTTTCAACAACATGATACTTAGCGTTTTAACAACACTTATACCCAATCAATTTTACGTTTATATATATTTGAAGATTAAGATCAAGATAAAGATATGCACTAGGTGAGCTATCACAATGAATTAAGTATCTAATACTATCTATAGAGGTGCAATATATATTCACAGCCATGCTGGATACACACATACACACACACGTCTCGTATAATATATGATTCTGACTGAAAATCCCTAGCTCGAATCGCTTTAGTCATCACTGTCTAGAATTTGTTGTTTGGGTTGTTGGATTTGATGATGGTATTTGGGGTTTCTGAAACTTTTGGAATTTTGATATTTTGAATTTTTGATCGAAGCATCAAAAGTCTTGATTACTCACTCACTCTTTTAGTTAATGTCTTGAGATGGAGTTTAGAGTTTGGAGGTTGGAGTTGTTAGGGTATTTGTATTTATATTTATATTTATATTCATATACTTATGTAGTTAGATAGATAATTGGTTCTTTCGCCCCGAGTTTCTCCCCCTTAGAAAATACCATAGGAATTTCTTCCAACAAAGCGCATGAAGTGTGGAGTGTACTAGAGCCGAAGTGATGATCAAGTGAAGTACTTATGGAAGAGACGAACGATGTAACTTTACGTTTGTAGACGCTTGGATCGGTGAGCTTACTACCTGGAGTTGAATGAACTTTTTCGGATTCGCATGAGTTATTTATTGGTGTTATTTATGGTGAGGTTTTGACTTTTTAGTAACAAGTGTTTTTATTGGGTTGTTTGTATGCTTTAGGGGAATGATGGGTGAGGAGTTTAGAATTTAAATGGAAGTAGGAAGTAGTAGATGAGATGTTGATGATGATAAGTGATCTATTGTTCTTATTGGGATAGCGAGTGAGTGACTTCTACAGTCAAGTGCTTGTTCTGGGGAAAACGCTTAGTGTTCATTATGTAGAGATAAATTTCCATTCATGGGGATCGCATTTTAATCTGTTATTTCACTTGCCACTTGGAATTGAAGTTTATTTGTTTGTTAATTAAATATCCATTTTCTATAAATTTATAATATGCTCTGTTCTATATTGTACAAGGCCATTCATTTATTGTTCCTTTACATATCCCATGATTCCCCAATTCAACCAAACTCCCAATAAAGAAAAGTTCGTTTATAGTTTGTGGATCACTTCAGTTGTTCAGAAAAGACCAAGGACAATGAACAATGAAATGAGAGAGAAAACAAAGAAAGTTCAAAACTACTCTTCATCCTCTTCAAACAATTCACCACGCCACACATCCCCATCCTCACTTCCCTCCTCTACTCTTCGCCATTCACTAGCTTCCACTGGTGGTGGAAGACTAAAGATACTGCGACGGCCATAGGCGATATTATCGGGCTCTTCTTCGATGATCTCAACCTCCATAGGTGTGACATCCACGAAAAAAGGTTCTGGTTCTGGTGTTGGCTCGTGCCGCGCACTCGGTTGTTCTTCCTCCGCTTGTCTACTAGCTCTCGCATTCCGTTCCTCGTTCAAATGATGAAGCATCTCCATCGCATTCGCAGTATACTGTCTCACAACCTCCCATTCAGCTTCGGTGGGATAGCTATCGCTAGCTAACTGGTCGTTGAGGAAGCGAATACATTGATTGAGATAGGCAGCTCCGGTATCGATGATACCAGGGAGTTCGCGAATGAATTCGTTAGAGATGAGTACTAATTGCGCGAGTCTGGCAAGGGATTGCTGGATGCGTTGGCGAGAAGATGTCATTTCTATTCCGCTGGATTCGTCATCGGAGTCTGATAGTGCCATGGCAGAAGGGTCGTCCTCGGATTCGGAATCAATGTAATCGTCTAGTTCCAAGGAACTGGCGTTATCATCGTCGTCATCCTGTGGCTGGAGTCTGGGTTGTTCGGGCTCGGGAACGCTTGCTCGTGGTGCTAGTTCGGGTCTCCCAGCGAGAGTCCGGAACATACGTGCGGCGATCGTGTTTCGTGATATCGAGAAAAGAGTGGCTTGGGCGGGGGCAACTTCGATCAGATACTTGCGATACTGGTTTATGATTGTGTACCATCGATCGAATTTTCCATTGAGGATTTTAAATGATTGTTCGTTTTCGTGTTTCCATTCGCAGAAGGTCTTGCGATCTTCGACTCGGCCCCATACGGGGACTTCGCTTGCCAAGGAGTGGGCATTGGGGTCGAAGTCGAAGGTTTCCTCATCCTGTTGAAATTGGCGCACGACCCGGCCGATGAATTCGTCGATTCGGTCATCATCTGCGCTAGCATTTTCCAAGGCGTCGATGTAAGCGATGATTTCCCGACGGACTCTATCTTCGGCAACATAACGATCTGGCATGTTTGCGGTCCAAGTTCCAAAGTTATTTCTCTTCGCTGCTGATCGAACCGTTTCCATGCCTTTATTGAAGTTTCGAGTGCTGCCAACTTCGTGTAATGAAAAGCCCTTGTCTGATTCGGTCATGGTTCTGGAACCGGAATCGATTTCCGCTTGTCTTTGAATGCACTCGTCAAACATGGCATCTTCAGAAAGAACCACGGAGACGATTTGAAATTCATCATCAGTCAAATCGTGATCGACTTCCGCAAGTGCTTCCAGGATATCATTAGCACGGGCCGCGAGATGTTGTCTATGTCCTGCCATGTAGTTTCTATGAATATCAGTAAAGCCAATACAGTAAGGATGAAGTCTCTCTTTGCTCATGAAAAGATCCGTGTACTTACTCGCAATCGCTTCATCGGTCAATGGAAGCGGACGCTCCAATCGTTGCCATTCAATAATAGCTTTGGCTTGATGGTGATGCATCGTGGTTGATTCGGCTTCTTCAGCAGCTCGTCGTCTTTCAACGCGTTTGCATTCCTTGCAGCATCTGATTCGGCGATGTCGGCCTCGAATAGCGTGGGTAGCGGTTTCGGTGGTGACATCAGGGTATTGCTGGCATTTAGAAACGTATTGGATGGTTTCCTTGCTGCATCGCTTGCAACGACTTCGATTTGCGAAACACATTCTGATTGATTTATTGGTTGATTGTTGATTTTTAGCTAAAAAGTCCGGCTTCTAAGCTAAGGTATTGATATGAATGTTTGTAGGTGGTCTTGTGTGTTCTGTTCTGTTGGATTGGATTGTGAGAGAGTGTTTGAGTTCTTAACGAGGAAGAAAAGGGGATGAGTTGGAATTACTTCCCGAATTAAAGAAACGACAATAGCATTGTTCAACTTCTGTTCTCTGACTTCTTTGTTGAAGTATGAACAAAGGATTTCATTGCTTCTTTGTTAAACCTTGGAGCTTAATTTCACAAAAGATTTGAACAACGTCGCTGCCTCGCAGCCTGCACATAGATCGACTACAATCTCTATGTTTCGAACGTAGTTGATCAATTGTGAAATACTTCTTTTCACATTCTCTTTGTTCATACTAATGAACTATTATATGTAATCGACGTTGCAATTGAGCTCAATAGTACAAATTTTGGGCTTGGGCCGCGTCCTCAAGCACTCCCTTACTCTTTTCTCTTTTCGACAAGTCTCTGCTCGCAAATTTGACCAGTGCATCTGATTTCTAACTACCATAGTAATACTTCACTACATTAGTCCCAATAGCCAGACATGAAACAACGGATCTCGAACATGCTACCAGAAGACGCCCACGCTATATCAAATGACTATCAAAAACTCTGCCACTTGACGAGAGAACATTCTTATCTTCTTCACCGAAAGTGAAGTTGGTCTCCAAATGAAATGCGATCTTCAAAGTCTCATTCAAAGTAACGCGAAATATACAAGGCTTCGGAAAAACATCTTGGGAGATCGTTCTAGAAACATCATTTGGGTTTGACCACTCAGCCAAAAGTGATGTCTACTTTTCAAGCGAAGCTCAACTTTAAGTGAAGTCCCAAATGGTAAAGCGATGTAAATAAAAGCTTGCAATGATAATAACTCACTCCAGTCAATCCAAGAAACATTATCCGAAGTGTTCATCTGAAGATCCTCATATTTCCCAATTCACTTCATCTTATCCGCTGCATTCTCGGCTTCCAACTAATTTTGAATCCAATTCACTTTACCAAACGCCCGTACTTGAATTTTTCTATTTAACCCTACCATCTTTGAAATTGTTTTCTGTACATTTGAACGTCTGTTGTGAAACAACAAAAATAAATTGAGTATCGATCTCCTGCGGCTTTCGATCGACGCTCCTCTCTGACCTTCGACTTCGAGAAAGATAGATATTTCAACACTCATCTGCAAACAAACCTCTGTTTCTCCTTCATTCCAGACTCGCTCATCTCGAAAACTCTCTACCCCACGGAGTCAAGTTCAAAGAATAGAAAATCCACACCCACGAAACACTTCTCAAAATTCACCTCCAAATCAGGAATCATGTGCAAAACAACACTCACGCACTTCAACTGTCTATGCACAGCTCTCGTAGTACACTCCTGTGCCCTCAATTTTCCACTCGGTCGTATGGTTTGTGGCCCACCTAATCTCATCAAGAAAGATATATATGTCTATTCAGACTGCGATGATTGTTTGCTCGGCGCTCCTGTAAGAGAGGAGAAGCGAAACAGACTCGCGAAGAAGGCGAGTGAGAGATGGATGGAAATTGTGGAAGATGTTCTTGACGATGGAGATGAAGATGTCGAGGGAGTAGAGGAAATTAGATTGGAGTGTGAGGATGAGAGAACTGGGGACGAAGGAGAGGGTGAAGTTTATGATAGGGGTAAGGATTGTGAAAGAGATATGGAGGAGGAATGGGAAATTTTGATTGATAGACAGAAGAACAAGGATGGGTATCAGGAGGAAAGCGAAGACGATGAAGCGCAATTGTTAGCTGCTCAAGGGTCAATCCAATCTGAGCTCGAAAATCCAGAAGACGACCCAGATGAAAATGATGATTTGGCGGCTGCTGCACAACTACTGTCAGCGCTTAAACAAGAACTCGGGAAGGATGATATGGTTTCGCAAGACGTAGATATTGACGAGAGTGAGGAGGGCAAGGAAGATGGGGATAATAACGAACATCAGGGACATGTAGAGACGATTCTGGAGAGCTTGGGGAAGCTGAGAGATAGGAGTGAAAGAGTGGAGGTTGATTCTACAGATGCGGGGCGAAACGACTGGGGATTGTAGGGAGGATGATTGGAAAGATATTGTTAGTGCGCGGCATTGCGATGTTTGTCGTTTTGACATTGGACTATGCTTGATGGAGCTAGATTTATTGAATTTTATGGAACAATTCCTCGGGATAGAATTTGTTGGAATGAATCGATGGGGGCTTCTTTGATGGTTTCTTTCATTGTGTTATAGTTGATGATACTTTAATTGGTCAACATGTTTCTTTGTACGCTTCTGCAACGGGCTTTTCGATTGTTCAACAACAGTTTTCAAAAAGAGATCCTCCTAGTAACCAAGTCGAATAGCGGAAAAAAGATCTAAGGTTCCAACCGATTGAATCCCCACAGGCGTTGCCGCAGAGAAGCGCGAATAGGAAAGAGGAGTGCTCTATTTGAGATGAAGTACGAGATGCATGTGGTAGGTACGTGAAGTAAAATTGAATGGCCTCTTAGCATTGGAAGAAACATTCAGAAATCTTCAAGTGAGGAAATGGAAGAAAAACACCGGGTGTTTGATTTGAAAGACTCATCACGGTAACTGCCTGTCGCCAAATCTTTATCGGTGTTGCCGTCGAATCCTTCAAGTCAAATATGTCTCTTCAACGCATGTATATTTAGTTAAACCCTTTCCGAAAATTTTCGATTCTTGTTACTTTATCTCGTCGACCTAATGTCTAGAATTTTCGAAAAGGATTTGTTTCTCTTCAGTCTTGCCATTCTGAAAAGTCCTATACGCCATTCCGGTTCACAGATTCTCCTTTTCTTGCTCGGACTCTTCTCTTTCTTTGGCTTCATTATCCTCAATATCATTCTTTTCCTCGATCTTATCTGCTTGCTCAGACTCTTCTTGCTCTTTGGTCTCATTTTCTTGTTTCTCCTGCGCCTTTTCCATATCTTTCTGTTCTTGTTCAATCCTCTCCTCTTCTCTTCTCTTTTCTTCCATTTCTTGCTCAATTCTCCTCTCTTCTTCAATCTCCTTCTCTTTCTCAGAACCTTTCTCTGCCTCGCCACCGAACTTATTCTTCCATGTACCCGCATAATGATGATTTACAAAAACTTTTCCTTTTTCCTTCTTAAATCCATTTTGTGTCCCCGCGAACGCATTCCCCGGTAGGATCAACACATCATGAATCAATCTCGCACTTCTCAATTCTCCAACATCCCTATCATCAAGGTCCCTTCCGAGGATTTCTTTGAGACTTTTGATAATTCCCCACGTCATCCTTTTTGGTCCTGTTATATCTACCACATCACTTATCATGCTTAGCTCTATTCCTTCGATTGATACTTCGTTTCGTCGTGCAATTTCATTTAGTTCGTCTAGAATATCATTGATGACCTGTATCGAACGATTAGAGGCCAATTTAGTTATGGACTATCCACTACTGACCTGCATTAGGTGGGGAGATTTAGGTTTTGCCATGATAGTCCAACTCGCAAATTGCGAATACATTGCAGTATCTTCCTGATAGTCATAATCAAACTCCAGACCAACGACAAGATTCGCCCCTCGATGTTCCTCCAATACCCAATCATTTATGGGAGTATCCTCACATGAAACATCTAAATCAAACCACACTCCTCCATAAGCATACAATATCAAGTATCGCAGTAAATCAGCTTTCAGAATCGGTATGCTGAGCGAAAAGTAGGTGTTCAGAATATCCGGACGATGGGAAAACCACTTCCATACATACTCATCCGCGAACGCGTCAGTGAGCACTTCATATTTATAGCCTGGGTTGATATCAAGACAGTGATGTCGGAATCGTCTTGCCTCGTCCGAGACACCTTGAGGCCCTACTTTATACCATAGCTTTCTGGGAAATCCTGGAGCTTCTGATGAATGTGTTGCAAGGGGCGCGGAGATAACCACGCTGGAGTTCGAGGACTTCGTGGAGATTGGTAGTTTTCGTTTGTTGGAAATCTCTTCATGCTGAATTGCTACGATAATGAGAAGGAAGATAACGACAGTGGATAAGAGGAATGTTTGACATTGGCAGGAGGTTTGTCGATACATAATGTAGGTTGAGTGAGATAACCGGATGATAGTTCGATGGTCTTCAAGTAAACCTCATCGCTCAACAACGTTCTGAATATCAAATATACTATTCGTAAGAATTCATAGAGTTTTTCCTCGAGTTCTTCTCTGAGGCTTCTCCAGGAAAGAAAAAAATTGTTCGTAACGCATATACTGCTGTCCTCGGCATTTAAATTGATGGTTGCGTCGAATGTCGCGTTTTGTTCTCATCCCTGTTTCTCCTATCTCTACATTCCTTACAGAATTATTCCATTCCACAATCAAATTTCCGTAACTAGGGAATCTCCATGAGTTGGATCTTATATTCTTTTGCCACATGAGTGGTCACTGGTCGCTCAAATAACTTCATCTTTCCATCAAACCACACACAAATTCGTTGGAAAAGGTTCTGATAGCTATCGGCAAGTATGATAATTGCCACACAATTCGAATAGGCGGTTGACTTGATTAGTACAAATGAAAATCGCACTCTCATTTGAAAGATAGCAATGTATTTCTCTTTGAGGTGACCAAGAGAGATGATCTTGCGCCAAACTAAATGAGTTCTAAGTTCACATGACTACCTACTTTCAATATGTCGTGTCCGATGAGTCTGTTGATAAATCATACTTTATTGCTTCCCCTCCATTTCATGTTTTGGTATTGTTTATTTTGTAGTTGATGAGTTGATGAGTTGATGAGTTGATAGAATCATCTTGAGTGAAGCATCATCTAAGTTTGCGGAGGAGGAATGAGACTAGCCCAATCACTAAGCTATTCCAATCATTGCGATCAAGTCATTCGCATGTAGTAACTACTGAAAAGCGTCATATAAAGACCGTTGAGATGATTCACATATGGAAAATGAGTGTATTTCCATATTATTCTTGGCCCAGTTCCAAGTATGACGGCAACTCGTTTTTGAGCTTGGAGTGAATGGAAATAATAGACACATTTTCATAGTTTACTCGCCTGATTACTCACCTGGTATATCGCCCTAAATTCTTCTTCCTTTTGTAAGCTTCCAAGTCCGTTCTTATCAATAAAACTCAACTCTTCCTCTAAAAAACGAGAACCAAACAACTTCAACTACCCACCAGTCGTTGATTTCTCGAGATTGATACAGTGCCCGAGCCCGAAATAGGTGCAATTATTGGTGAGCATATATCATTAGAATTCAAGTCGGTGGATCTTGGTACCCTTCGAGAGTCAGGTGCGGATGAAAACACCAGAAAATCTGGAACAATACTCGAAGTCAGTGCAGCACAAAAGCCGGCTTTACGCCAGACTATAGGAGGATGCGGGTAATTGGAGAAACTCCCACTAGAGCTAAGAAGAAAGATCTGGAAGCTGTTACTTTTCAACCCGAAACTTGGTAATTTTCAGCAAGGTTATGAATTGCTGATCTCCGAAGAAGCTTACGATTTAAGCCTTGGACTCCTGAGAACATGCAAACATAGTTGTTTCGAAGCTTCAGAGGTTCTGTACGGTCGCAATACGTTCTTCTTTGTTGCTGTTAGCCAGTATGAGGTGAACTATTTCCAGGACATCTTTCGGCGATGTCCAATTACAAGATATGGCATAGCAACTGTAAGATCGAGAATCCAGAAGATATGGTCTAGCTACATCTTAACGATGCAGAAGGTCAGAAGAAAGAAAACAATAATTGGTACGGTTGAGCTGTCGTACACCTGCGGAAGGTGAAATATTTTCCCTTGTTGCAGAGAGATCTGTAATGCTCCGCTCCCACCAACTTCTTTAGGAATAGTTGTCATGTCAGAGCAGTGGAAAGGGGCAATAACCGTTCCAGAATACTCAGGGGATACTGTGAATAGGTTGAGATCAGCTGTAGAGCTTATCCAAGCGCTGCGTAACTTGAGAAACATTGGGGAATTAAGCTTTGATAATGCAAAGCCTACTTATTGTCCAAGGTTCAATGATCATTTATCAGAAAATATGACTTACCGCGAGGTAGATTATGTTACGAAAGACACTCTGTACCATCCAGTAACTTTGCTGTTAAAAGCCGAATTGCGGGCTCTAGTAACCGGAAACTCCCCAGTTGAGTTATTATGCAATATGAATCAATATCCACTGGACTATGCTAAGATATATGAACGCTTTACTACTTACAGAACAGAAATGGGCAGAAACAGGGTCCATCGTGGAGATTCATTATGTGGACTTACTCGGCGCGTTAGTTCTGAGCCAAAAAAAAACTAGCAGACCGTAGGATTATAAGCCCGACAGAAATCTGGTTCAACCCATCTTGGCCTCATAATCATCATAAATTTCAACATCACCTCGGGCATCCCATTGAGGTCGGACTGGACAAATGCAACACGTCGGCCGATGGCAACGATGTCGTCACTTTCAAGTCAGAACGTCGCATTATCTTACAATACCTAGAGCGCCAGTACTGGCGTATATTATAGGCGTCAAGATATATACAGTCTTTCATCAGAAAACACAAATGTAAATATGGCTTATTCGACATTAACAGAGAGAGAGAACCTTCGAGTGACTTTATCTTGCAAGGCTATTGCGATAGTATGATGGAAGAGCAAACAGCAAATGGCTGTGTGCTGCTCGAAACATACGCTGATACATTCAAGCGCGAGCAGACTGTCTCTAAAAAGCAACAATTGCGAGAATGCGAGCAGAATTCGATGGGTGATACAATTACATGCCAAGAGGAATAGCCATCAAAGACGTACTTCAGGCTATACGAAACTCCCAAGATGGTTGGAACCGCAATGCTTGGGCCGAAAACTTTATTATTGCTTTCGATGATGTGGAAAAGCAGCTCGAGGAGTTACAGAAAGCTCGAAGAGGGATTTTCAGTTGTGATATTTCATCCAATTGGGATTGTGATTTTGATATACAGCTGGGACAGACCAATAGAAAACGTGTCGATTGGAGTTTTCATGCCCCTGGTTTCATTAGATACTGGTCTCTGACGATATGGTATGAGAACGGTGAGGCGAGGAGGCTAGACTAGCGAAGCTATTGTATATGCGAGACTTTGACACAATAAACCTCAAATCAAACAGTGCAATCATAGCTCCGATTCTAATGAATATCACTTCGTATTTCTTTATTAGAGGGTTTTCGGCATCATCAAAGCAGTGTCCTGACGAGCATAAGTTCAATGAAACTCGCTAGACAGTGAGCCACGGCAAAACAAAAGACTATTTGTATGAGCTCACATGTTTGCCGTCTTGATGCTTTCAATTCTTAAATCTTTTCTGAATTTTGCACTAGACACAAATATATCTGTCAATCTGTATCCTCATTCCATAAAATTCCACATCTTCACTCACCCTTTAAGACGGAAACCATCTAATTTTCAACCTGAACGATGCAAGGATCTCTCTTTCTCCTTTCGAATATTCAGAAAGTATTATCTTCATTCCCCACTCCCTCCCATATAATCACTAGGAGACGTCTTGCTTCATCTCACATAAAAAACTATACCCCACGTTGTCGACAACTATGCAACCATCAGGAGAAATTAGACGAGGACTCACCATCCCACTTTTGATTGCTCAGTACTAGATACATGAACCATTCTCTTCTCTTCTATTGGCGTTTCATTTACTGTAGTTTATTATGTTTTTTTCTCTTTCACATTCACTCGCCTTTGTTAGTGTGAAATCAAAACTCTGGATCGCAGTATTTAGACCAATGAACTGTAGAATTTTAGAGCTGTACAAGCATTGCACCGGAGTTTCCTGTATTTAAGAAGTTCTTTTTTATGAAGATTTCAATAATTACATCACCAAGTCCATCATAAAATTGGCGTCTATGTCAATATAATCAGTCGTATCGCGCAAATGTAAGTAACTTCTAACCAAAAAACAAAGTAACTCTTTATGTGAATATGATTGCCGTTGCAACAATCTCCTTGCTAACTTGCGCGCTCTAGACCTCCCACCTATCTTCCAAGGCAACTACAAATATTGTCACAATCGCAAGCAATCATGACGCCAGACTTTTCTCTCGTGCAAGAGCAGCCAGCGCATGCAAATACTACGTCTGTCATCGACCTCCTAACTCAATCATCTTATCCACAGCCACCCAAAAACAGCACCACAGCGACCTCCAATTTTCCATCCATCCTTAATCAGCTATCGAACCTCTCCTCTGTCAACAAAGCAATACCCAACAATAGCTGTCCCTTCATATCGCGCCTTTCCACCGACGTCCGTACACAAATTTACTCTTACCTCCTCCTCAACCCCATACTCTCCAAAGCAGAATGCATCAGTCCCGAGACAGATTTCGGCATCAACCAAAAATACCAACTCGAGCCATCGATTCTTAGAGCATGCAAAGGAGTCTACGGAGAAGCATCTACCGTTCTCTACGGTCTCAACACATTCTACCTCGTCGCCATGAAAAGCACTCGCATGTTCCGTTTCACGCTTGCAGATTTCATCAGTGGAAGTGCACTTACGAGATATTGGAGAGAAAATGCTGATATCTTTAAGGTTGCGCCTGGGTCTACCTTGTATCTGTGTAAAGTACGTCAATGGAGAGTTGAAGTAAGCTGGTATGGATCGCCTGGTCAAAGTGATATATCTCTTCCTGTCGTTTCCATGAAAACACACGAGGAATACAAATTCTCCAGATTTTTACCGATTGATCCAAGAACTGGTTTACCGCCTGTTTCTGGACAAAGGAGAAGTCGAAATCAATATTTGTTGAGACTTGGAACGCAAGAGGCGAGGGACTCAACTATGCAGAATACGCTTTCGTTTTTGAGACCGTTGCTCGAATATAGCTTGGTGCCTTTTTGTCATTTGGTTACACTTTGTGAGGTACCACCTCATACTCTGGAGATTATTATTAGAGCAAAGAAGGAGGGAGAAGCTCCCATACGATCCGAATATCTGGGTATGGTACCTACAGAAGCTGAGAAATTGAGATTGGTAAGACCGTTGGAGATGTTACGAGGAGTGGGAAGTTTGGTGTTTACATACGGTGAGAAGAGCCGTGGGAATAACATATCATCTGACGAAAACCCCAACGAAGACACTACACCACCCGACGAAGCTGCCAATTCAAATACCACACAAAACAACACACCACCCGAGATCTCAAACTACCAACTCTACCAATACTCAGGAATCATCCACCTAGTCACTTCCACAGCACAAAATCCCGCAATCGAATCACCCTCCAATATATACAACAATCTTCTTTCCTACGCCCAAGCCTTCGAACGTTACGAGCCTTTCAAACAACACATGGCAACCAACTGGCTCTACCCAAATTCCTACACCAGCACTCCCAATCCCTACAAAACCAAGAGTCCAAACCCCATCCAATTCTCAAATCCATTCGGTCCCCAAGACAACAACTACAAATCTCACCCCATAAATCGATATCTCTCGAATGCCGCAGCCGCAGTAAGAAGATACGATATCAGTGCCTTGCGGAATAACCGCAGCGCAGTGATTGAGTACCTCGAACCACAATATACACGTATCCTCTCCCAAGTCCAGAAATTTCGCGCATACACCGAGAAACAAACTCAAAAATTCGGGCTCTGGAAAGAAATTTCCATACTCGAGAAGCAGATACTTGATTCTCAACGAGAGGGAGGTAACAGTGCGTTCAATTGGCCTTCGAAAGCCCATCCCGAAAAAAGAACAAAGAGTATTGATTTCTCAGAAGCATTAGTGGTACTCGAAGAATTCGCCGGGGCATTTTCCCGCGATATGCCGCTCGAGACACGTCGTCAGATTGCACTGATCCGCTACGAATATTATGGTCATTATGAAATCATGGAACGTGAAGTTGCGATGCGGAAACTCCAGGATATGGTAGTGGATATGCCACAACCATTTGAAGAAGCGGCTGTGGAATTTAAGAAATGGTATGTGATTGCTGCGAATGATATGCAGAGACAGTTTTTGGAGATTAGGAGAGCGAGGAGACGGGTGGTTGAGGATGATAGTGTGAGGGGGTAGGAGGGAATTTCCGGTTGATTTTTCGATGGGGTCGGAGGATAGAGAAATTGATTGGAGTGTGTTAGATGAGAGACTTGTGGTTCCGGAGAGTATCTTTAAGTATAAGAGGAATCAGGCTAGTTGGTACTAGGATTTTAGTATTTATATAGGTCAATTTATAACGCGTATGTGACTTGTGCGCTCAACGAGTGAGAGTAAAGCTCTTTGACAATGACCGAACAGAAAACAAAAAACTATATATATACCCATCAACATATACAGTTTACAAATTCAATTTCTTTTTGCAATCGATAATCAAAACAGTGCACTCTTCCTACCCATTTCCAACCTCCTGGGGCTCCAGTCAAAGAATAATGGCCAAGCGCCACCCTCTTCAGCCCTCAAACCTCCCTTACACCCACACTCTCTTTCCCAACCATTAAGCCCCCTTTCTCAAATACCATCTCCTTCATAAACGGACTCCCTCCTCTAATCACCTTCCCCAATCTAGAAACCGCAAAACGGGGTCGCCACCGAACCCAAACTCACAACCCCAACAGCAAACTCGCCTATTTAAATCTCAAATCTGCATACATCCTCTCACTCACCAATAGTATAAAAACCAGTGCAATATTTTCCATTAATCTCATTATGTCTAATGCGTTCGCCGCATATTTGTGATATACATCTACAAGATAATTAATAATTTTCGAGGTTCTGAAGTCTATAAGGAAAAATCCAATACTAGGAATGAGTTAGTATAAAGAGGAAAGGGATATCTATTCATAGAGAAGTATTTCGCCTACAACTCCCAAGAATCCGTTGATGATAGAGGAATATAGTCGTGCTTCAGGGATGGGGTTCCGGGAACTTCTGTGTTTCGCGATGCAGAATTGTAATACCAGAAATTGGTATACATGCAGAGTACACAATCTGTGTATTTGCTAGTAGCAATTGCACACTATGCATATCCAACTATAGACTATTCCAATTATAGAGTTGGAGATAAAGTTGCTTGATGGATTGAGTAAAGAGATATATAGTTCTCAAACTGAATACTATTTAGAAAAAGAGTAGCGATAAAGACATTGGATTTGATGAGGAGTATATAAAAAGTCTTTTAATACTTTTGATAAAAATTAATGGATAGATTGCTTATGAAGTTCTTTACTATATATATTTCCTTTCCTTTTCTTATATTATTGTTTCGCTTTAGCTAGTAAAATAGCCGAGCCACGACTTTCTAGAAAACAGAATATAAAAAGGAGAAAGAACGTAATTATTTATATCAACTCAATATAGTCAATCCAACGCTAATCCAGATATTGAATAATTATAGCACCAATAACAAAACTTATACTAATTAAAACGAGATCATTAATCATATATAAACTAATCGATACACTTCTCTCTCTATTATCCCTGAAAACATTCGAAATAACTCCCGCTACTGTATTATTCAAAAGCTATACACACCCTACTAAAAATCCTCACCACCACCAATGTTTCAAGATCCCGCGCAAACCCAATTGGAATCAATAAGATTATACATAGTAAATATTTACTAAGAAACATTAGCTTAATCCTAGAATCTTTTTATGATGAGAAACAAAACAAGCGAGAAGATTACACCTCCAACTCCCCATGATGCAAGCCAATAGGAATTAGGGAAGTGCGGATCGAAAATGTGGAATTCGGTATTGATGGGATTATATACAATGAATAGAATAGTGTTGTTTATAAAAGAGATGAAGCTGATAAGGAGCGCGAGAGTAATTACAAGTCATTTTTTGCGGGGAGTTTAATTGAATGGATCATAAGAATCGAATGTTCCATCCCAGGTTATTATTGTAGGAGTGGGAATTGCACATGGTATTGATCCTACTATTATTGTTCGGTACTTGTGAAATATAAAGGGAATCGAACGCGACGTACGTTTGGTTGGAAAGATGAGTAGTTATATATCATTCTCGGTTATCTCGAGCTCTTCTACCATTACAATTGATATATATCAAATCTTCACTTAGAGTCAACTAGCTATAAAAAACTAACGCAATAAAACGAATAATGACAAGCGAGATCGATGTCAAGAAAAGACGATACAACTCAAGGTCCACAAGAACGAAGTCGCATTGTTTTGAAACTAAGCAATGTAATTATAGCAATCAATAGATAGGGAACCTAGATATACTTAAGTCGAGAGATCGAAGAACCAGTTAAAAGAGCTTATCACGAGATGACTAATCACGTGATAGCTTATTCCATTGCTCGAGACAGCTTCGTATCATGTTTACCGACGACGAGGCGCGAAAAGAATGTCAGAGTAATCTATTGACTTCTACAACTTACCCATTAAATAGTAATAAGATAATGAATCAAATAAGATTCTCACCTTATCTTATCCTAGACACTTCACATCCAAGTCACCCTTCTTCCCCTCTCCTCTACCCTCTTACTCTCCATCTCTCATCTTCCATCCAACGTCCAGTATCCCATACCTCCGTCCAAGTATCTGCCCCTCAAACCCTACCTTAACAATCATCTCCAACTCCCCATCTTCGGCCCGAACCCGAATTCTATCTCACCATCACTCAGTCCACTCGGTTCGTGATCCTTCACACCCACACCCCTATCCATCCCGGGACCCGAGTTTCTAAATCCCATATCTCACACCATATTTCTTATGTCCTCTTGGAACCCTCTTCTCTTCTCTGATCAATAGAACGGCACGAATGGTAGTAACCAGATACTGCGTTGAGTCACTATCCATCCATACACCCATCTCACTTACAGTCCGTGTATCTACCAGTAACATCTCTCGAGAGTCGCGATAATCCAGCCTAACAACCCTATGCATTCATCCTTGCCTACAGTAAAGATCAAACATCACAGTGCCAAGCCCAACACGCTATCCTATGTACCTGCACATCCACTCAATACTTCTTTCGTAGTCCATACCATCCATCATCAATCCCTCTTACACACTCCCAATCCCCCTCTTATCTCTTCCCCTCCATGTACTCCTCCCTCGCTTCTTCCCCTCCCAAGAAATCCCCACTAGCCCCAAGCCAGTTAACCACATCACCCACCAACGAAACCAATTGCCAATCCCTCCTCTTCGGCAAAACCCCGGCCCAACCCTTAACCCTTCACCTCAAACAAAAACAAAAACAAAAACAAAAATAAAAATAAACCCCACAACGTCATTCCAGAACCTCATCAATACTTTCCTTCCCTTCCTCGCTTATCAATATCCATCTACGTATCATTAGTATCCACCATTCATCCACCATTCATCCACCATTCAATCCACCATCCCTCTATCTATCACCCAATGAATCCACCAACCCTACCACTATCAACTAATCATTCCCCATTTGCCAAAAAGTATGAGACCATACTCCCCCTCCCCGCTTATTCCGGGGTTTTTCGCGAGTCCGCGTGCTGCTGTTACGATTTTACTTCTATTAATTATTTAAATATTAACTACTACTCCGTATTAACTACTCCGTATCAACTCTCTATTACTCTACAATACTTCAGAGTCTATATATCAATATCAATACCGAGGAATTAATAATTTCTTTATATAGAGGATATTAGAAATTGTCTGACTCTATATCATTTTATAGTATATCATTTTATTATAAGAATTAAGAATGAGGAATTATATAGTATTATCTCATTTGATTTCTTTAAGAATCATAAGAAGCGAGAATTATTAAATTCTTAATTAAAACATTCTTATATTATTTATTATACTTATTCTAATCTAATCTATTTCATTTTATATCATTCTATTTCATTCTTTCTTATATTATCTTATTTCATTCTATATTATCTCATTATTTCTATATTATATTATTATTCTTATTTTATATTTATTTTATTCTATCTCATCCTGTACCATTTCATCTCATCCTATATTATCTCATTCCATCTCATACTATCCTATTATTTCTATATTATATTATCATTCTCATTCTATACTTATTTCATTCCATCCCATCCCATCCCATCCCATCCCATCCCATCCTATCATTCCCATCCCATCCCATCATTCCCATCTCATCCCATCCCATCATTCCCATCCCATCCCATCCCATCCCATCCCATCCCATCCCATCCCATCCCATCCCATCCTTTCTCATCCCAATCCACCCTATATCTTCAACACCTTTTTCTTTTATCACAAATATTTAACCTACCCTTTCACTCCATCCATCATCTCCTCCATCCCCAACCCCCAAGAACTTTATTTGCACTTTAACATTAATAATATCATTCACATCCCATATCCCACATCCCACATCCCATATCCCATATCCCATATCCCATATCCCATATCCCATATCCCATATCCCATATCCCATATCTCAAATCACAATGCAACATACCTACAACACAATGCGCTGTGATAGGTATCGCTAAAGATGAAGGGGCATCGCACCACACACCACACAACCAAACGCAACATGTTTTTTTAATATTGTTTTCACTATAAAACTTTCATTCCATCTGGACGTTTTGGCTTTTGATTACCAATCAATCAATCATTTATTCTCCATTTGATTCAATTCAATTTGATCAGTTCAATAGGTAGTAGTAGTAAGTTGAGTTTTCAAGATTAAGAGAACAAACACACAGACAGAAAAACGTGATATGACTCAATTCAATTCATCATAACAAGAAATCCATCTTTCCTTCCATCATCCCCTTCCTTCACTCTTCCATTTCTCTATTTTCCCCCAAAAAATAACAGACCAATCCTATTGCAATCCCAACCCAATTCGCAATGAAAAAGACAGAGAAAAAAGAACGCAAATCACATAGTCGCCTCCATTTAACAATTCCGGATTTCCCATCCATCCCGTTCCATTCCATTCAACTCCCTATAAACAAACCCAATGAAGTGAGAGTGTGAGAGTAGAGTTGGATTAGAACCAGATTTGAACCCAAAATCATGGAATCAAAAGCATTTAATATCATTCAAAAATGATAGACGTCTTCCTCCGCTTGCATCAAAAGTTGAATTTTCCTCCCATTGATACATATATCCTCTACCACCAACATACAAACAATTTGATAAAAGAATGTGACACATGCAATTGCTCGCTGGAAAGGAGTATCATCGAAATTCGAGGTGACGGAGAGAACAGTTGAAAGCAGTAAGTGCAAATCAGAAAGAACAAAAGAAAATCATAAGTATGTTCATGGGAACCCATTAATCATAAAAGGAGTGTCGAGATTGTATAAAAAGTGTTGAAATGTGTTGAAATGCTCCACCAGTTAAACAAAAGTACAATGATAAAAGAAACGAGCGCTATGTTATTTAACCTAGACAGAAAAGAAAGAACGGAGACGACAAGATGAAGAAGTTTGATGGCTTTTTTGAACGCTGAGAGGGAAGAATCGTTGATCAAGATAGTGACACAAAATGCTGGCGCCGTAAAAGACTTTTGCTCGATGTGGCTATGATGGCATTAGTGTCGTCAGGAAGATGATGACCGATTGCGCGGCAATTGATCATTATTGCTATGAAGAGATGACTTTTGGTACAGAAATGTAACCGTAAGGTTATTCAATACTCGAAGTAAGAGGCTCGAGTCGATGGTACAGTGATTTTAAATCACCTCTTTCTCTTCTTACTCTTCTCAAAACTGCTTGCACCACTAGCAGAAAGCGCAGATGGGAATATTGGGACTTGTGGCAATTCGTCTTTCTTCACAGGCACTCCCATGTGGCGCCCATAACGACCTTTACGACCGTTCCCTTCGTCTTCGCTGACACACTGATCAATGCCAAGCCCAGCATCTTGGCATCGGCCACAGGGTCTTTGACGATCGCAACCTTTCTTACTCTTCCTGCAGCGTTGACAACGTGGTTTAGATGAAAGGTCCTCTTCGTCGTCACCGAGATGATGTTGATGAGTTGCGGTAGATGCCACAGAGGTCTTTCGCGATTGCGATGGTAAGGAGGTGGGTGAAATGGGACCCTTGCTAGAGGCAGAGACACTGTTGGCTTTCTTTGGTTTGACCAAGGGCGTTGGCCTATTTGGTTTGCTAATTCGATTGGCTTTGGACTTTAAAGAAGAAGAAGGTAAAGGTTTTCTAGCAGCTTTAGCCTTGACGACCTTGGGTTTTGCTAGTTCGGTATCAACAGCATCATCTGTTTGACCTGGCTTGAAGGTTCCGTCATGACAGTCTTCGACATCACGTTCATCACTACTTGGCTCAGTGCTATCTGTCGGTAGATTATCTTCCAAATGTGGATGAGCCTTTTTCAAGAACCCAGGTGGCAGAATCGGGCTTGGCTCACGCTTTAGTCTGTGAGAAGGGAGTTCATTTTCACTCTCGCTCTCACAATTACTGGTAGCGCCAGTGGAGGAAGCTGCATCAGCACGCCCACTGAACGTGTCGTCAAGGGTTGATGCGGAAATGCGACCATGAGAGATGTTTGACATGTCGCCAAGTCTCATTAGCTGCAGAGCAACATCCTTGTCTTCCTCTGACATGCAACTACCGATAGTTGGATCCGGAGTAGGCAGTACATCCGACATATTTCCTGGTGTACTA